TTTAGAACAAAGTTATTTTTTCTCAAATTCGGGATTGTTTGAGTCTTTGCTCGACAGCATTATTCGAAAGCAGCAGTCTTCAAAATTTATGCTAGCTAGTCCTCATTTCAATTTCATGCAACATTTCTACTTTATTTTTACGTTTTCAGTTCAGATAAAACACATATAATCCTACAAATTGCCATCTTGCAACTAACACAAATACCTAAGAATACTACATGGATGAAGGAAAAAGAGTGTCTTCACGAGGAAGAAGCTAATTGTCCTGCACGTAAAAAATGAATAGACTTTTTCAAAACTAATGTCACATGAAAAGAATTTAAAAAATTAATCAAAACCGCTATTACAACCACAAGAAATGATTAAGCAAAGAAATTAAACCAACTATCTATTTAGAATTTTGCTTTTCCATATTACAATTAATACACATTGGAACTTAAATTCACTTTACAGCAGTACAAGACAACTGTCTGATAGCAAGAATAGTGTAGTTGATTATCAAAGCCGATATTTTTTCACGACAAACGCAAACGTGAATAATTCAATTAGTTTACTTTTGTGCATGCGTTCCTAAGCAATCATAAATGGCATTTGCTTAATTCAACTTTGATTTTATGATGACAATTCGAAGAATCATACAAATCGCAATCAAAGCATTACTCAAACAACTCAAAACTTATGCTAACAAAGTTTAGACTCATTTTTGCGTCGATAACGTAAAAAAAACAATAAAAATTGTATCGAGTTGGCACGATGCATTTTGATAAAAATTACTCAATGCATTGTTTAGTGTGTGCATTGAAAAAAGCAAACAACCAAGTAGTCAAAAAATAGAAAATTTGGATGAATGCATGTAACTTTTGACCTTTATTGTGTCACAATAGACAAATCTATGTGAGTAATACAAACACAAATTCATGAGCGACTATAAAAAGCTATCAGTTAGCAAGAAGGAAATCACTTACATTTTCGTTCACTGCAGTTCACACTACTTAGATAGAACGCTTCTCCTTGCCTTACTTACATTCTTCTTCTCAAAATTTATCATAAGCCTAGAACAGATCTTCAAGAATAAAGCCACCTACCCTTTTTTGATAAATATCTTATAAGCATTGATAATCACTGTAGTAATGCTACCAACATATGTCTATTATATTGTGTGCACAATAGTCTATTCGAATGGCTTAATTGCGATTTTTATCCTTTTTTTATTTGATAAAAATCAGAATACAAAATTAGATATATATTGATCAGCCCAGTTAAAAGTTATTACTTAAATAATGCTTATTGCAGATAACAATGCACTCCACATTAGTGTTTCTTGCTCTCAGCGTATTCGCAATTGTTCAAGTCCAATCACAAGCACCTGTAAGTTGCCTACTACGACTATTATTGCATTTTTTACGTAAACCTGTATATTATTTGACTACAATTCATGAGTATTTTAGGATGGATGTCAAAAAGCTATTGACTCACTAAATAGTATTTTGGCGAAGATAGCAGTGAATATTGATCCTCAGCATGTTGACGCCTCCTTTGGAGATGAATATGTGAAAGAAGCAGATAAGGTTCATGGTGAAGTATCACAGCTAGCGAAAATGGTTCAAGAATTGCAAGCACAGAAAACTGAATTTGGAAAGAAAGCTAGCGGAAGTGGAAGTCGCGCAGTGTGCTTGAAAGGAATCAGTGATTTGCAGAAAGAATTAATGCAATTGGAAGTATCATTGAAGGCTTTGGTTAATTTGAGCAAACAAATTAACGCCGAAAAAGCAAAGGTACACGTTGAATGCCACAATGATCTTCTGAAGGAGATTGACAATGTGGGAAAAATGTTGCAGAAACGAGACATGTGATGCTATGCTAGCTCTTTACATCAAGGCATGCAAGTGCATTGTTAACTAAATTATTTGTAATCCCGAGGTATTGTATATTTGTAAAACAGTTTTAATTAGCTCTATTTCTGTTTTTACTTTCAAAAAATATCATTTTTTTTACTATAGAAATATTTTATTGGTATTTGTTATAGCAATTTAGATTTGACAAACTTTTTCAGACTTTTTGCACAAGTTAGTTATGTAAGAATCTGTTTCTGTTGAAGTATTAAATTGCTTTGCATATGAAAATCAGTACATACACATATTATCATAATGTAACAATGTAACAGCTATAAATGAATCCTTAAAACTGTCGATCGTAACTTATTTCGAAGTAATAAAATAGAGTTTGCAAGTAACACAACGTGTATCGCGTTTATATTACTGCCTGCTTGTTTTATTAAGTCATTTTACAAACGTATTCTACAAGAATATTGGTTTGCACTGATGATGGAAATGTGTAGAGTTATTATTACTCTACTCATTCAGTGTTTATTTGCAAATGATTTTGCGAATATTCACACGTTTCGCAAGAGGAAAAATACACTGGCAATGGCACTGCATTGTAGAGTATTCTACTGAGTTTATGCCAAATGATTTAGACAAAAGTTTTCACTTGACAAACAATTATATTTTGGATCAAATTCAAGCAGCACTACACAGTGCAATTTTTAATTTTAGAAATGAATTTTTCGGAAGCCACACTTTTTGCAAGTTAAGAATTATCAATTCATGGAAATTTTAAGCAAAAGCTAAATTCGTGCAAGAATATTTTGAACTCAACAGACGAAGTTGTGATGTGAGTGAGCTTCAAACTCTTTTCGATGGTTGCTGTGACTAAAATATTGAGTTGTCATTTGTAGTTTTGAATTTGGAATACTTCAATAGCAACCAATGTGAATCTATGGCTTCACACTGTTTCACTGGGGAATGAAAAATTATTGTCACAAAGAGTGCTTAAAAGATGTTGGCCTTACCTTGTCACTGGAATGTCATGAAAATGAATTTATTTTTTAGTGAATATATAGTTGTTAAGTCATACATCACAATACTGAACAAAACTGTAGATGATGTTATGAATTAGGAAATAAAGTTTTCCGTAGTAAATGATGTCTATATAATTGATAAACAATTAATTTGAAAACATAATTTGCTCCGATTGCCTTGTACTCAAATGTACATATGTTTGTTAGAAATATTTAAATTGTTGAAAATAAAAGAAATATTCTCTCTAGATTGTGATTTATTTCATTTTCAGATAAACCAAACTACAGAAATATTAAAATCAAACAAAAAACATTTCCTCTATATTTTAAGATTGCCGACAAATAAGCCACACTAAATTCGTGGATGCAAACTAATTTTCTAAAACTTTTGTTCAATCAACAAGATTCCACTGATCCTTAATCACTGGACGAATTTGTCTCAATTTCGAGGGTACCGAAACTCTATTGCAAGCATTATTTACATGATTCCTCAATCTCCAAAGATGTTTTTGAACACAAACTAAGAAAACTGTCTGTTACAGTAATCTAAAGACACTGTCACAAACTAGTAAACGATAATTTTGTTACAAATATTTATATGCACGGTAAAAAAATACAATATAAGAAATGCTGAATTCGAATCAAAAACATATTGATTTATTATTAAAGAGCTCTACGGGAAAACAATACTAGAAAGATTGCAAACGATGGTAATATAACTACATTTAAAAATAAAAAGAATAAAATTTTTAATAAAAAGAGTGTTTTAATTATTTTATTCCTTTCTTTCCGCAAAAATAATTCGCAACATAATAATTATAAAAGTGTACGCATTCTTCGAAAAGCTTTTAGAAATTTAAATATAGGAGTAGAAAGAAACTCTATAACAATGTTTTGATGCTCAGAAATTAACCTCTGAATATGATCTATTGGCAATCATTTTCGAGCAATATCGTAATTTGCTATAAACCAGTCAACAGATTCTTTTATTGCTACTTCGAATGGTGTAAACTTGAAATGTGGCAAATATTTGCGCATTTTGGCATTTGATGCAGTTTTCCTATATTGTCCATCTGCTTTAGTTTTATCTTGCAATACTTCACCCTGAATAATCACTCTTTCAAAAATTAATCAAATAAAAAATAATAAAGACATCTTAAAGAAAATTTGAAAAAGCCTCCCATACCGATTAATAATAATAAACCAGCTATTTCCACTGGAAGAATTTAATTGATAAAAACTCTTCAAAGTTCAAAAACGAAAATTATAGTTCCAAACCTTACTTTAAATTTGAAGGCATCAATAATGCAACGGACCGCTTCCAAAATTGATATTTCATCGTTCTCTCCGACGGATAATATTATAGGATCGATTTCCTATAATCGATATCAAAGGATTGAATTTTAATGAGACAAAATTAAAAATGGATTATTACTTAGAGTTTTGACACAACAACAAACCTCGTATGATCGAACAACCCACACAAACAGTCGAGCCAAATCTAAAGAATAAATGAATTGTCGCAAAGGTTTTCCGCTTCCAAATATCTGAAAACACATCATTAGAAACAGTTCAAAATAAGGTCATTATGAATGAATATGAATTAGAGACCTCATAACGAATAAAAATTAATGAAACGCTGCTAACAAAATAATATTATGAAATATTTTTTTGAGTAAACCAAAATCGAAAGATTAATCCTACTTCTAACGGTGCTTTATCACGTTTAGCAATATAGGTTTTGTGAATCAAAGCAGGAAGAACATGTCCATTTTGAAGATTATAGTTGTCATAAGGTCCAAACACATTACATGGTATTACTGACGTGTATTTCCTTCAAAATTTCAAGTAAATTGAAGAAAATATGAAAAAGCCCCCCATACCGATTAATAATAAAAAACCAACTACTGAGAATTTTAGATTCGGCACTTTGAAATAACCAAGTAACATAAAGACATAAGAAAATTGAGAGCCATATTTTG